ACACCATTGCTTTATTTCTGTGTCCATTGTACAGAGCTGGAGTTTGTGCTGCTGATCATCTGACCATGGTTTCCCTCCTCTTTATACATTTTCCTTTAATCTTCACCTCAACATGTCTAAATCCTTTCAGGTTCTATTTTTGCCTGGCCTTGTTTTGATCATGACAGGGACACTCAAGTTTATGAATCCCTAATCATGCTTCGTGTACCTGTGCCTCTCTCTCTCTTTCTCTATTTCCCTCGCTCTCTCACTCTCTCTCCTCATGCATGGCTTTATTGTTTGAAGTAACAGATCAGGTCAGCCTCTATTGAATCACTGATGAGAAAGACCTGTTTTGAACTGGAGACTAATCCACAGCAAGAAAACCTCATGCTAGCTTCCGAGAATATGTTTTCATTCAATCTTTTTTCCTCTCCACATACAGTGGGCTATTCATAATGACTCTAAAAGGCATAGAGCTGCTTGATATTTAAAAACATGTTCACAATATATTTTAACCCTAAAAAGAAAGAAACGGAAATAAAAAAAGATTATGAATATAATTATTGCCAAATAATTTAAAAATATATTAAAAAATTATGCTTAAACTTTTAAATGTTAATTAAAAATCTCTAGTTTTTGTTGTAGTTCTAATTTATGCTAAAATGTAGCAGCAATGAGAATCACCAAACTAATAAAACAATTTCTTCATTCTGTTTTTTTTTTTTTTTTTTGGCTTAGTCCCTTTATTAATCAGAGGTCACCACAGCATAATGAACCGCCAACTTATTCAGCATATGTTTTACGCAGCGAATGTTCCTCCAGCCGCAACCCATCACTGGAAAATACCCATACACACTCATACACTATAGACAAATTTACACGACTGTCAAGTAAGTTGACATGTACATCCAAAGTTTCTTATAGTCAGTTAAATGTCTGTTGAAAGACCAATATCAGCAGATAATAAGCAGACAGTTTACAAATACCCAAATGGACCATCTAAACAAAGTGTTACCAAACATAATCCTTTTTTTCCTTTCGCTTTTTCTCGTTCACTCAACTTTTGAAAATCACTGAGCTTAAATTATTTGTCAGAAATACAAAAAACATTTAGTTGGGTTAACATTAGATTATTAGTTTTCTGGAGAAGTAAACTACTCAGTAACAAAACTTATTAAGATGCAACTAAAAAAAGGTCAGCAAAACCTTTCCTGACGTTTAGTGAACAAACAAACAAAAAAAAAATCATAATCCTTATTTCCTTTCATTTTTTTCATGTAGTCAAATTTTTTTTTAACACCTTTAACTGACAGGACAGTAGAGGGTATAGACAGAATAGCATGGGGAAAGGAGAGAGGGGAAGGATCGGCATAGAACCTCAAGGCTGGAATCTGATGATGTCTTTTGAAAACATCAGTTGCGCTGACCTAAACATCTGAAGTGAAAAAGTAAAAAAAATTCTTGGAAATTTGTACTAAGAAATAATACATTATCAGAACAAATAAACAGTTTAAACTAAAAAAAACAACAACAACCTAAAACAGAGGCAAATGTTAACAAAACATTTATTAGACAGAATTAGAAACAGGACAGGAGGTGAAACTACAATGACGGTAAACAAGACAAGGATCAAAACATGCAGGACAAAAAGAAAAATTATTAAAAAAGAGACTAATAAAGATTAGTAAATGGACTAAGCCCAAAATAAAATAAATGAATGTTCTGATTATGTATTATTTCTTAAAGAGTTTTTTTGTTCACTCAACTTGGCGATTGTGCTATCCACTACACCACCGTGACACCCATAAATAATTTTATGTAACCCAACTAAATACCCTTTGTATTGCCAACAAAAAATTAGCTCAGTGCAGCTGATGTTTTCAAAAGTTGAGTGAACAAGAAAAAGCGAAAGGAAATAAGGATTATGTTGCTTTTTTGTTGTTGTTGTTGTTGTTGTTGTTGTACTGAGTTTTTTACACTGAAAGAACTGACAGTTTTTTACAGTGTTCATACTCCTTCCCAAATATCATTGTAATAAAATAAAATAAAATAAAATAAAATACAATAAAATAAAGGAATGATGCTTAAACATTGAACTGTTGATTAAAAATCACGTTTTAATGTACTAAAGTTTAAATTTATGCTAAAATTTTGAAATGTGCTCCATTGCCTAATGTGAATAATGCTAAAATAATAATACTATACACTATTATTACAAGCAGATCCCATACATGACACATCATGGACAGTACAACCACCAGAAAACAAATCTGTTATGTTTACACGGTAAAAAAAAAAGCTGGTTGCCAGAAAAAAATCTTAAAATAACAGCCATTAAATTGCAGAAAATTACTGTAAAATAACAGACGTCAAATACAGAAATTTACTGTAAAAGAATAGACGTTAAGTTATCTAAAATTAAAATTTAAGTAAGCTTCTGTAATTTCATGGCGTGATTTTACGGTTAATTTCTGTAATATAATGGTATTATTTTATGGTAAATTTCTGTAATTTCATGGCGTAATTTACCGGCCATTATTTTACGTTTTTTGTGTAACTACAACAATACATGTTCACACTTGAAACAAATTCAGCTACTAGTCTGCAACATGAACCATGCAGTAACAAGGTCATTGTTGCTGTTTGCTGAGAACAAACAAGCTGGCTCCAGATTTTTGCCCTCTGTTTGTTAAAGTTGTACACTAAAAGGCAAAAGACCATAAAATTATACTACGTTATCTCACTCTGCACTTGCATTTCATGGTAATGATTTCTAATATGCTGCTCTCAAAGGTTACATTACAAAAGTATAAGATCTTCCTGCATATAAAACACACGGTTCCATATTGTGCAGCTTACAAGCTTGCCTGAAATCCTTTTTGGATTTTCTTTTTATTCAATCTGTTCGGACTATACTCAAATGTGCCCTGTTGCTATGCATGCCTCATCACATTTCCATATTAACAGGGCAACAAGAATTAGCAATGAACATCCGAGCTCCCTCACATACATGAAGAAGGCTATTTCCTAAAAATAAGCTGATACTCAGAAGTACAGTATTGTGATAATGAGCATATTGTTATCATCGGCACTTACAAATTTTATTAATAATTATGTTTTTTAAGTTTTTAGAATGCTTTTTAAGTATTTGCAGACAGTTGTATTGGCACTTTTGTTCGTTTAGGTAAGGACTAAATAGGCTGTTTATTATTTTAACTTGAACATTATATTCACATTAAACTGGCCTGTGACATGCCTAAGATATTGACTGAGTATCTGTATCTTTATAGGTCTGTTATTCATTAACACATACAATAAGGATCCATGTGTTAGCATTAGGTAATTACACTAAAGTGACAATAACAACTTATAGAGCATGTTAATCTTATAGGTGGTCTTAATTTCACCGATAATGTTTAGGATCACTCTGAAAGTAATAACAAATACATCGAGCTAATAACAAATAAAGTTAATTTACATTACCATAATTTTTGCTACAAATGCAGACATTTCTCACTGTTGATGTTATTAACTGGTGTTTACTAATGACACTTTTTATTCTCTTTTAAGCTTAACTTTTTTAACTATAAAAAAGTCCTGTAAATTGACCAATTAAAGCTGAATTTTTTTTATCATTATTTTCACCAAAATAATGCAGATTATTTTATCATTAATGAATATCTATGTCAGAGGAATATCTAGGAAGAGGAATTATATACAGTTGAAGCAGGATTATTAGCCCCCCTTTGATTTATTTATTTTTTTTAAATATTTCCCAAATTATGTTCAACAGAGCAAGGAAATTTTCACAGTATGTCTGATAATATTTTTTCTTCTAAAGAAAGTCTCATTTGTTTTATTTTGGCTAGAATAAAAGCAGTTTTACATGTTTTAAAATCCATTTTAAGGTCAAAATAATTTATCCCTTTGAGCTATATAATTTTTCAATTGTCTACAGAACAAACCATTGTTACACAATAACTTGCTTAATTTCCCTAACCTGCCTAGTAAACATAATTCAATAATAATTCTGACTTCAACTGTATATATTTTTGCATTATGAATATAAGGATTAATGACAATTTAATAATATTTTTTTAAAAATTGAAAAAAATAAAGCATAACATCAGAGCCAGGGCAATGCTCAAAAAAACATCAAAAAATGTTTTTTTTTTTAAGTAATTCCAATGATTTTGTTATCTGTGTTGTTGTAGTTGTGATGTGAATGGACCCTTAAGGCATAATCACATAAAATAAATAATAAATAAATTTGAATTTCACTTCTTATCAAAAGCTGTTTGAGAGTTTCATATGTAACTGTAAAAGTGGCAACTTGTAATGGAAAGACAGTTCACCAGAAGCCATCAGATAAGCTGTTTGAAAGTTAAATGTCTGTGTGCATAGATATATTTTTTAATGGGGCATTATATAATACAGGGTTTCTGCAGGTTTCAATTAAGTCAAATTTAAAACTTTTTAGGACCATTATGATTGAAATTTCAGACTTAAACAAGGCCAAATGCTAAGGTTTATTTTTTTTTCTTATAGAGTTGGGCCAGGAGAAAAGTCTTTTACTTGCCCTATCAAAAAAAGTATTTCGACATACATTTTTTTTTAAAGAAGAATTTTTAAAAATAATAATCTGTAAAATGAAAATAAATTGACATGGAAAAAATTAAGACTCATTTAAAATTATTTAAGACTTACAAGACATTCTTTTGTTGAATTTAAGACTTCTTAAGGCCTAAAATTTTAGATTTAAAATTTAAGACATTTTAAGATCCAGCGGACACCCTGTAATAGATCTTCCTAAAAGAACCCCTTAGTGAACAGCTCTTAAAGAAAATAAGATATATATATATATATTTTTTTTTTATATATATATTTTTAAAGACCATTTTAATAAATTGTTTTTTAATAAATGAATAACAGTATTTCACTATAAAAAAATCTTGTGGAATGTTAAAGGTTCTTCATAGGACCATCAATGCAAATAAATACCCTTAATTTTTAAGAGTGTTGTCTGAGAAATCATAATACTGTGATGTTTACTACTCTGTAATGTCAAAGTGCCATGCTAATTTAATTCAAAATATAAGAGCCAGATTTATATTGTCTCTCAGAAATACCTTATAATCAAACTGCCATGGATCAATTAATTACTTAATCAGTTGACATGAAGCCAGTGATTTTTTCTCCATCACTAAGATCAGTCATCTTTTTCTTGTGTGTTTAAAATGTAAAGAGGAAATAGCACTGCAGATGTTCATAGAAAAAAACATTGCTTTCAGAAAAAAATCGATGATGTTTGGATGTTAGTTAACAATATTATGCTGCAAATATAGTATCAAAATCATTTTTATTTCTAATCAGAGAACAACAAAAAAAGCTGTATACTGAACAACATTAAGTCTCTTGTATGTACAGTGTGCAGGAGTGCAAGCACAAGCAATAAGTTGCTGCAGTTCACGGGTGTCATTAATAACAAGCGTTTCTGAATTCTACACATAGCCCCTTTAAACATGACATTATTACTGTTGCCACTGATCTATGGCAACCATAACAACAAATTATAGATACGTAGATTACACTAGTCCAAAGAGCATTTCCAGGCGATTTTTGCATGGACCTACAGTAGTTCCATGCACATACTCTAATGCTCTTCTTATTCAAAATGACACAAGAATTTTACTCAATCATTCCTCAGGGATCTGTCCAGGTAACCTGGCCCCCTGATCAACAGTGTTCCTTGGGCTAGAATTTCCACAACTGGGTCTGGTGGTCTCAGCCGTGCTGCTGGTCCTCTGCAGAAACTGGAGAAAGTTTTCCTGGATGGAACCTTCATGACTAGAAGCTCGCAGTTCAACAGGTCTACTAGCACAGCATTTTCTCAGTTTGATCAGCTCCTCGCGAATCTGCCGGTTCAGAAGGCCGTAGAAGAACGGATTCACAGCAAACGAGGAGTACGCAAGCCACGTGACGGCTTCCTCGATGTCCCCTGGGCTTTGTAGTGGAGCGGTGATGGACATGTGAAGGTGGAAACTGAAGTACGGCAGCCAGCAGATGAGAAACTGGCCCACGATGACAACCAGGGTGATAGCAGCCTTTCCGCCCCCAAATACTCTCTCAGGGGACAGTCTTTGGGGCAAACTGCGGGTGGTGGTGATGATAGTGGTCTGGCTGTTGATCGAATCTGAACGTCGCTTAGCTTGGTTGGCCGCCCAGGTTGGCATCGGTACATTCTGACGGGCGGCCGTTCGTGCCACTTTATATACATTGCAATATACAGCAAAAATCACAACAGCGGGCACCAAGAAGCAAAGCACGCTGAAAAGAATTGCAAAGACCTTTCTCAGGCGACTGTGGCTCCAGTGTAAAGAGCAATGGGCTGCTGCGATGGAGCTCTGGTTCCCATATGCTGGCCAACCGAGAAGTGTAACTAAAGCCAACAGGATAGATTTGATCCAAATGAAGACCATAACACCAAGAGCAAGGTTTAGGGTCATCTTCACCTCATAACGCAACGGATGTACAATGTAGTAATAGCGTTCAATGCTGATCGCAGTAACAGTAAGAATCGAGGCACAGATAAGGAACACGTTTAAAAAGATGTACACTTGGCACTCCAGGACAGTAAACGATACAGTGCTGAAGAGCGGGGAACTAGAGACGATTCCTAGAGGCATCAGTAGTATGGCACAAAGCAAATCCACTGCACAGAGATGACACACAAACACATATTTCTTCATATGAGGAGCTCGGGCAATTGCCACCATGACTCCACTGTTGCCCAATAGAGCTGCCAGGTTTAGGGTCACCATGCAAAAGAGTCCAACCAGATGCTTAATCTGGGATTCGGAGTGGATGACCTCCTCCACGCTGGGAAGGGTTGGTTTGCTTTGGCTAGATGTGGCATTTGGAGTGCTGTGATTGGTCAGGAGACCCAGCATTAGACCCTGCATGACTTTCTCCATACCTTACGGACTTGAGTTGGAGGCAGGTTTCTCCATGTTTAAATAGGGTTTGCTCTTCTGTTTGTTAAGAACTTGTCTGGAAACCATGTCTGAGAAGAAATAAGAAGATCTATTAATACTGAACACTATGTTAATGTCAAGACGACACACACACTGAAAAAAATTATGGATTTATAAAGTTTTCTTTAGGTAAGTGGTTGCAAACAATTTATATGGGCTGAATTAAAAAAAATAGTAATGTTCCAACTTATTTAGTTTGTTTCAAGAGTTCACACTTGATGATTTATAATAAGCTTGTTTGGCATGCTGTCCCTAGAGAAAGCCCTGAGCTCAAGGAATCCTCGGGCCCAGGACTCCCTCCTGTTCGTGAGAGGGGAGATTGAGCACAGGTAGATCTAAAAAAAACTCCACTGCTGATGTGGGTAAGGTGAACTATTTTGAGAAGGAAAAATACTGATGCTGGGAGCAAGACTATGGTGTCCATTAGGTTTAGGCGTTATAGATATGACGCACATCTTTGAACGGTGGGAGGAAACCCATGCGGACACGGGGAGAACATGCAAAGTCCGCACAGAAATGCCAACCAGTCCGACGAGGGCAAGATTTGCACGGGACTAAAAAATTGGTCACGATCCCGCAAGGTTTTATTCTGCACTCGACCATTCCAACTGTATATTCAGCCTTTGTTCACCCGCTGCCTGACCGGCCCCGTGTTTTATCCGACTCGACTGTTCTTGCTAAATTTAGTCTGGAACACTTAAGTTTGGAAGTAAACTTCCGAACGGAAATAATTGTAAAAGGAAGACTGTGGTTATTTACAGTGACTTAGGAGTAATATGATTTGGAAATTATGATAATGAGGGACAGGCTGTGGTCAATCATAAACATGTGATACTCTCGAAATTAGTTTACAAATAAACTTCAGCTATATTCAACCCATATAAATTGTTTGCAATCATGTAACTTAAAAACATTTAGTAAATCCAATGAATCCTTTTTTCAACAAACTGTTGCTTTAAAGAAAAACCTTGCCAAGAAGTGAGGCTGCATATTGACAACCACAGTCCTTAGGGCATAACAGAATATTACTCTACGATAATTCAGTGTGCAAGAAGTCATTAAGAGGATTGGTGACATGCCCGTAATGATTAGTTATTTAAATTTAAACACCTCCATCACTCATCATTCAGAGAGAAAAACAGAAATCCCCCTTGTGTCAAACTAAACATGCATTTTTTTATCAGAATACAGTAGCTGTCACTAAGCACTCGAGTGCAAATCAAAAGGAAATTTCCTTGTTCTGTTAATGAACATTTCACTAAATGCATATGGGTATTTATTACTCCAAGAAAGGAACTAGTTGCTGTTCTTTAATGTACGGGATGGGCATAGGACAATAACCATTTTTAAGGTTTACCGCAGTTTGGAAAAGTCAGAGTTTCAAAACCGCCAAAATTTTCTGCTATCCCGTTCCTATGGTATTCGTTTTTTGTTTTTGTTGTTGTTTTTTTGGACAACAACATACCCAAAAATTCTGTTTTAAATTGTAAAGAAATCGGTGTTTTTGAAACTAATGAAGACAGTAAAAGTCAAAAATTCATTTGAATGATTTAGCCTGACATGTTTACTGCTCCAAAATGTTTTTAATGTTTCTCAAAATAAAATACATTGTGTTCAAAGGGGAAAAAGTATTTATTTTTTACCCAGAGATTTAAAAAGAACATATTTTAGAGCAGTAATACAAATAGGATGAAACTGTAATATTTTTATCCATGGTTATCATATCGTCAGAATTTTAAACCGGCCCATGCCTAGTACCAGATCATTCCCAGAACCAGAGTGTCATTTTCTTTTACCTTGACACTTCATGGAAAATCCTCCCTATTTTTTTTTTCTTCATCCCACTTAACATCTCTATATGCTAATGAGGGCACAACATAATCTTGACCATCCTTCTTGCCAATTTACAGATTGTTTTCACCCAACAGATGTACAATTTTTGTTGTTGCACAAATTGGTTTGTTGACCTTCATAGATCAATGAAGTTGCTGGACATTACTAAAGCTATTGTTTTTGTACTATTGTTGTTTTGTCAGTGGGAGTCAAATGACTCATACCTGATTGTGTCACGGGCTTCCCACAAACACCCAACCATCCCCTGACCCACACACACTTTATCCCACTATGCTAGAAATCTGAAAACACGTTTTATTTTTTCCTCCACCAAATTAAAATGAATGACCTGCTGTCATGTCATCTTGTGCTCTGCTGTTCTCAATTATCCTCACGTGGTTCCCAGCTCACAACATTCAGTGAAAGAACACATCATGAGCTGCTCTCACCTTTCAGTTGCTTTGCTTTTTTTGATGATCCTCCAATCAGGGTTGAGATTTGAACATCTGGACATGCTTTCACGCAGTGGAAACGTTGCTAAAATAAGTGCGCTGCAATCCCATTTGAGGCCTGAGATTTAGCACTCAACATCTCAGGTGTGGATCAGGATCCCTCAAAAAGTAAAAAGCTTCGACTCCAAGAAGCAAAGTTCATACAGGTTACACTTTCTATCTAACAAAACCTTGGTGAAGCAAAAAAGATATGGTCCCACCTGCTCTTCCAGTTTCCAGCAGTGTTGATCAGTATTCGCACCACTTAAGCCGGTGTCTGTCGGGATGCTCTTCCACACTGTGTCCGGTGCTGTGAAGGGCTGTGACTGTCACACATTGTGTCTCTGTGATTTTTTCTTCCTCTTTCAAACAGACACATACTCCTCTGTCCTCCAGAGTGCCTGTCATCCCCTGGGTCCAAACGCACACCACTCAAACACAAGATGTTTTTATGGCCTACTGTAAGTCATCTGGCCACTTATAAAGATCCATTTTTAAAGCATATTGGGCATTTGCACAGATATAAAGATGCAACAATAATAAATATTACCTTGTGGGAGCAAATATTTTTTAGGCAAGAGCACTCTCTTGAGGAGACAGTTCTGAAGTACAGTATACTAGGCTTCTTTAGGAGCTTCGTCAAGTATGTCTTTAGCTTTAGTCGTTTTTTATTATTGTATTGTTTTAATCGCACATCCCCTCTACAGTTTTCAGTTCGGGACACTGTGGAGGCCAGTTCAAGACTTTCAGTAGCCCGATTGTCTTTACAGATTGACAGAAAACAGAGGTTTTAAAAATTTTGATAGAAAACTATTGCAAAATTATGACTTTCCATTAACAGATGTTTTTTTTTTCTTTTGCTATACATAATTCAAAAAAATCATGACAGCAGGAGTTGGTAGGATTATCTATGTGCGGTATTTAGGAATATGCCATTCATATTCGGAAACTAAAAACAGGAAACTAAAGCTAGAATTAACATCCAGTCAGCAGAATTGAAAAAGCTGCAAGGATTGACAAGATCAGAATTCAGCTATTATATTCAGATATTCAGGGTGATCATTTGGATAAACAACATCACAGTATTCATCGTGTCTTGTATCAGTTTTTCAAGCAGCTGCTGGCGGTGAAGTGAAGACTATTTCCTCGGTATACTCTGGACCCCTTAGTACTAAGTGAACATTGTGTAATCATTACAGATACTATAGGGCTGCACAATAGTTTTAGCATCAATATCCCACTGTACATCGGCAACAGATACATTGCACAAACTGCAACGTTGAATTGGGAATATAGTTTCTAAGATAGTTTCTACCAGATTCTTACTATAATGGAGCAAAAGTTGATCATTTACACAGGTTTTAAGGCCTGTTACTGTCTTATGACTATTTATTGAATTAATTATAAAAGTAAATCTATGCAGTGCTATTTAACATTTGATTACTTAACTTCTGTACCTGAATTCTTACCAAAAGCTATTTTAGTCTGGTGAAACTGTATTCATATTAATATTCATTCATTTTCTTTTTTTTAATAGCGCATGTCTTTGGACTTTGGGGAAAACCGGAGCACCTGGAGGAAACCCACGCTAACACGAGGAGAACATGCAAACTCCACACAGAAATGCCAGCTGACATAGCCGGGGCTCGAACCAGTGACCTTCTTGCTGTGAATCGATCGTGCTACCCACTGCGCCACCGTATTGCCCCCATATCACAATATATATCACAGTAAAACAAAACATTGCAATGCTGCAGCCATTCTGAACATCACAATTTGACCAATACCATGTCTTTATCACCACAGAGTTCTATCTTTGAGAGTTCTAGCATGATAACACACCATGTGAACATCTTAAACTGGATTTTTAAAAATGTCAGTGGCTTCACTATTTTAAAATGTTTACAGTTCACAGATCTTAGTCCAATAGAGCACTTTTGAGATTTGCTGGACCAAGAGATTCACATCATGGATGTGCAGCTGATAAATCTCAACAACCACATGATGCTGAATCTGTGATTTACAGCCCCTTCTTGAATATATGCCACAAGGAATTTAGGCAAACCTTTGTAGTTTGAAAAAAGTGACATCTACTGGCCATAAAGAAACACAACATAGCAAGATAATAAGTATAATGATTTATTATCTTCAGATTGTTTAAGTGCCAAGTCCTCACATTAACATTTATGTTGGAACTTCAAAACTCACCATAAGATGTAAAAAAAAAAGATAACTATGAAGATAAGTAACTTTAAGTATAAGTATATAAGAAAAGATAACTATAAACAAACAATACAGTATGTTGCATTTGTGCATGTATAAGACCTTTCCTTTAACATCAAGCAAATATATAAGGGTCCAGAGCATCACATTACCTTCACAAGCTATGCTTTTCAGCAATGAGTCAGCAAGTCACATGCACATTACTGTATTGATTAGTGCAAAATTAAACTTTAAAAACAAAAAACAATTACAATATTTTATCTGTCTTCATTTCCCCCTAAATTACTATAGATATATGTATATATACATATATGCTCCCTGACTCAAGTTTTTATAAATGCTTAAAGATGTTTAAACACATGTAATAACTTGTTGTTCTGACACTACTGAAACCAGTAAATCTGTTTTGAACTTGAATAAGATATTGCAGAAAATAAATGATAAAAGACATTTAAACTTCACTCAGGGATATGACAAAATGAGCAAACATATTGTAAGATCACACTAAGGTTTACAGTACATAAAAACGTTGTTGTGTACTGTAGCTTTCAAAAACAGAACTTCAATGAATTTCCAACTCAGTAATTACCTCAAACATTCAGCACTTTATACGAGCGAAACCACATATCAGAAGTGGCTTTTATAAGTGGCTGTGCTGTATGTAGATACAGTTTCTTGATTTGCATCTCTAGTAATAATTAAACTTCAACTCCAAGAGGTATCGGATGCGGCACTGGCTTTCCTTATAGATGAGGTACTCACTGTTGTAGAAATGACTTCCCTCGTATTGCTGCTGTTTTATGGCTTTTCCCTGAGGAACCACCACCTTTTTACCATCAAGTTCAATGAAGACATCTTTTGAAGGATCTAAACAAGAAAAAAGACTTAAACTTTGCCAAGAACTCATGTTTTATATTATGTCTAGTAATGGAAATTTTTTATTTAATTATATAAAAAATAAAAATAAAAATAACCTGGTTCTTGGTTTCCACGTGCAATTACACTGTCATAGCCAGCGGGTGCCTTTCTTAAGCTGGGATCGTCCCGTGTGATGGTGTACTCCTTTCCCAAAGCAACTTCATTTAGAAACATGATGCCAATTTTGTTTGATGGACGCACTGCAAACACAAAACAGAAGTTACAAAAAATCTGATTAAAAGTGCCTGTTATTAATGTCTACTACATTACCATGTTTTGTAAACTGGAAATACGGGTTGACTTTAACTTTTTTTGATCACCCGCCACTGTGTGGCTAGTAGTTTTTCAATATTACTAGCCATTTGCCAATTTCACTAGCCATAATTTTGCTGTTGGGAAAATATATTTTATATGCATAAATTTGACTTTGGTATGCTAAAATGACTTGATTTATATGTTGTGTTATGTCCACATGCCTCCTTATTAATCACACGTTTTTGTGTGTTGTATATGAGCTTGCTTAATGAACATGAGCAACTGGGTTGTGCTTTCAAAGTGTTTCACATGACTTTTCAGGGTTCAACATTAAGAATTTACCTATATTTTTGTTTTATTGCCACACCTAATATAAATAAACAAATAACTAATTCAACATAATTTCTACACATTTTAACTACTTTTAAAAAATAAAAACAAGGTAAATATAGCTGTGTACATGCACTTTTTACTAATAAAAAAATTATTTAAAAAATTACATTTAAAAAACTATTGTTATATATCTAAATCGATATCCTATTAAACCAATGTTAATGTAAAGGATGTTAATTAAACCTGAAATAAAAAATAATTCTAACCAAAAGAAAGCAGGTGAAAAATACTATGTGTGATATTGAAATGATTAACACCTCTACACAGTTAACGTTAAGCCCATTAACAATCTGTTCAAAGAATGGTTAAAGTGAAAGCGGCAATAGCTGCTGCTTACAAAAAGACATTTTTAAAAAGAATTTGGAGCTCTTGAAAGCAGCAAAAATGTGGGTGGAGGAGCATCATTTTTTTTCTATTTTAAAGAAAAGCAATCACAAAAGTTGCGTTTGCAGGCATGGTTGCTTCACACAAGGAAACGGGAGTGTGTAAGCTTTATAAACACTTGCGCGCATCACATCAGCCTTGCATGCGATAATAAAGCCCTCATCTGTGAAAAAAGCCGGCATCTCGCCATGAGCGTGATCATCTTCTCATTCGGTATTCACCTGCTTTCTTTTGCTCACACGAACTGTTATTTTGTCAGTCATGCTGCTTCTCGATGAATTACATCTTAAAATTGATTTTCAACCAGCCAAACTGGCTAGTGGGATTGACAAAAAAAGAATTATGTAGTGCATTTTTCACACATCATTATATTGGTGATCTTAGCTAAAATGTACTTACACTGAAACTAATCATTTGTTATGTGCATACTGTGTAAATACAAGTTTTTACATTGAACTTATGATTGAATATGAATAATAACAGCATTTAATTTAATTAATTTCTGTAATTACAATGTTGACCATCCCTTACACCTTAACTCACCCTTAAACCTACTCATACCACTAAACCTGTCCCTAACCCTACTCGTATCCCACCTCAAGAATACTGAATTCTGCAATACATTTAAAACACAGTAAGTACATTGTATTTATTTTTTGTTGCATGTACATAGTAGTTAAGGCCACCTAATATAAACTAGAACCAATAAAAGTTTGACATTTATTATAAATATGGCTTGTAATGAATTGAATTCTTTGAATATTTCTAAATGTTAAAGATTTGTTGAGGAGAGGGGAAATAAAATATGTTTTAAGGCAACTGCTAGACCAAGGGCCCAACCTCGGTCCTGGAGGGCCGGTGTCCTGCATAATTTAGTTCCAACCCTAATTAAATACACCTGAACCAGCTAATCAAGCTCTTTCCAGGTATACTAAAAAATTTCAGGCAGGTGTGTTAAAGAAAGTTAGAGCTAAACTATGCAGAACACCAGCCCTCCAGAACCGGGTTTGGGCACCTCTGTGCTAAACTATTCTGAATTAAATAGTGAAAAAAAATCTGACAGCAACTTTCCCTCAAAAACTCACTTAGGAAATGTATTTAGCAGAAAAAAAGAGTACTCTTGCGCAGCCATGTTGTATCAATTGTTTTCTTTTCAATGCTTATACTGTGTTCCTCACCATAGCCAGCAGATTTACTGTTTTCAGAGGCAAAATAGATTCCCCTGCCCACACGTCCACCAGAATGAGGCATGATGCGAAGACCACTCTTCAGAATGGCTGCAACCACTGCCACATTTGTTCCATGCCAAAGCAGCTTCCGGTTCTCCAATGCATCATTTTCCCTGAAGCGTTCAGCCTACACACACACAAAAGATTTAATTAGAATAAGAAGACTCACTAATGAACCAAATTCAGCACACCCATTGAGGCTCACTGCTGGTTTTAAATGAAATTAGGGTTTTAATTTATAACACATAATTAGTCTTTTATTGTTACCTTTTTACTGTATATATACTGCAATGTAATGCTACTATGCATTTGCTTTACACATTATTAAGTGTATACTTTACACATTACTATTAAAATACGGTACTATTCATAAATTTAAACAATGCAATACTGTATTTACCTCTGTTTCTCTGTCAACTTCCCATACATCCACGAGAGTGAGTCCTTCTTGTCCAGTGGCCTTCAAGTACTTCTCAATGATCTTAATTGCAAAAAAGGCAGAGAGAAAGCATTTCTGAACATCTATTTACAAACATGAACTAATAATGAACAATACTTGTACAGCATTTATTAATCATAGTTCAACATTTACTAATGCATTATTAAAATCCAATTTCATGCTTGTTAACATTTGTACTGTGAGGTAACGTGAACTAACAATGAATAACTTTATTTCCATTAACTAACATAAAAAAAAATTATAAATACGGTAATAAATGTATTCTTTATTGTTTGTTCATATTATTAAATACATTACTAATACAACCTTATTGTAAAATGTTACCACCTAAATAACATCACTTAATGAAGTCATGCATTCTGCAAAAAAAATTCTGCAGGGAGAATAAATGATGAGTGAATTTACTATCCCGTTTGTAAGTTTGTTTACTAGATTAAAAACACATTGTGAATCCCGTATTTCCAGTGTGGACTATAAAGGTTGTTGTGCAATAAAACCTTATATTCCTTTGACTTCTTATCCACCAGATTCAGACTGCATTTCAGAGACTGGTAATTTTGGTCAACTGGATGAGGCACAGTGTCCTCCATCTCTTCCTTGGCTTTCTCAGATTCAGCTTTAAGACTCTGGGCAACCTCAATATCTGCAAGAACCTACAAGAGAAAATATGAGAACGTTTGCA